GCAGCACGTGATCACATTTCACTACGTTCGCAATATTAAACTGAATATTATGACCACAAATAATGAAAACAACTACATAATGAAAAGTCCAATACTATGACACATTGAACAATACAATAATACTAGAAGTATGTGCCGACAAACTAAATAACACAGTACATGACCTAAGCATTCCCATACTTAAAATGCATTACATGACAACACAATGAAAAGTCCAATAGTGGACAACATTGTTCATGAATAAACCATAGAACTAACAAGTAATGGAGACTACTGAGTGCAACAAGGCCACTTTCCCTTCCTCAGGGCATCGGGATTCTCCTCCATCGCCGCTTTCGCTCAGCGTGCACGCTCAAACTTCTGCTCCCTCTCCTCCCTGTACGCAGCAACACGCCTCCTTTCCTTATCTTTTTTGTGCTCCTTTTTTGCAGCCTCCTCTCCGCGTCTCTTCTCCACCATCTCCTTGTCCTCTGCCTCCCACCGCAACAGTTTTTGCATCCATTCCTTGTCTTCAGGCTTGATCTTAGTGTCGATCCACTGCTCAAAATCATAGAGCGGTGGAGGGGTCTGCAAAAAATGCAATTGTTATAAAACAAAAAAATCATGCAAGATGTCATATGACACAAACATCAATTCATCGCCATCTTGTTAATGCGGCGCTGACAAAGTGTAGGCTCAAACACAAAATTGAAACACATTCAATACCTCTGCCTATACGTGTCCTCTTCATCGGACTTGGCTACATTGCAAGGATCGCCGCAAAAGCACATGGGCACTAGAACACCACAGGCAGAGGCAATAGGTCAAAGGCATTTCCGGTCATCCGGCCATAACTACAATTTAGCCATTTTCGTTCTAAGAACCGAAAGCAATTAACTTTAAACCATACATCTAGGGTTTTCCATTTGATCCACAACAATGAACCCATATCATAACAACGTGCGCTGAGGTTACCTTAATTTGGTAGCTTTTCCACGCCTTGGCATCCTATGGTTGTATAATATAAATATTAAAATTGTATGAAACCCTAAGTAATGACGATTCTTAAGTTAAAAAATCCGACTAATATATACCGAATCGATTTGAAAAAAAACTAGGAGGGAGCGAGGATACCTTGCTCTCGAAGATCTACGGATCAAATCAAAGTTTTTAAGGTCCAATATGCCGATTCGTGAGGTAGGGCAAAGTGGGAGAGAAAAAACCCGAGAGGGAGAAGAAAGAAGAAGAAGAAGGCTCGGATAGAAAGGTTGGGCGCCGGGTTAAAACACCACCTCGGTGCCATAGATCTTGGCGCCAATGACCACGGCGCCAAGCTTGGCGCCAAGATCTACGGCGTCAAGCTCGGCACCAAGGTGCCTGCTAAGTCTCCACCACGTCTGCGCCGAGCCCAAAACCTAGACGCCAAAATCTATAGCGCCGAGACATGTAAGCTCGGCGTCACCAACGATGGCGCCGAGCTAAGGGTCTAGATTTTAAAAGCATACCTCCAGAAACATATTTATGAATTTTTTTCAAAAAAAAGAATAAAAAACAAAAAATTCGGCACAGGATACCACCATCTTCAAGAGAAGATGAAACTCTCTGCTCTAACCACCTCATTGTGGTGTCGTCCGATTTGATTTCCATGAGACCAAACGTAGGAAACGGCGCCCTTCAGGTTTTACCACGGTCAAACTCATTTCCTTTCCCTTCAACCCCATAAAAAATGTTATTATCACTTCCAAAAAGTAAGTATTTTTAGCTTTGACTAAATATATATAAAAAATATTAATATCTATGATAAATAATTAATATAATTAGATAGATCGTTGAATATATTTTTATAATAAAGTTATTTATAGAGATATAAATGTTACTAATATTTTTTTTTATAATAAACGTATTTAAACTTTGAAAAATTTAACCAGCACGACGTCGGGCTCCTCGACCACGCTCGGCAGTCGTTCGATCCGTGCCATTCCCTAGCATCCAAGCGTCCAGCTCGTTCTGCTCGCACCAGGTGATACAAACACCAGTCTAGCAGCCCATCTAAGCCCATGAGGCCAGAACACCGCGGAAGAACACGCGGCGCTGGGCTGATGTCTTCCACGGCGAGTTGGCCGCGCCGCCGCCACCGTTTCCTGCACAGCCGGTTTTTAATCTCTCGACAAGAGCGAGGACTGCACGGCAAGTCATCAAGAGCGTCGCAAGGTGCTGCAACTTCTCCCGGCGTGGCTGCTATATGTCAGGGCAACAACTATGGCTTCTAACTGAGACGCCGAGACACAACACACACCTTGGCCAATGCGGTAATGAGTATCTGGAAGCAAGGCGGGGAACGCTGCTGACGTGCCCGGCCATGGGGCAGCTGCATCAGACGCAACGTTGCTGTAGCGGGAAGCAGAGTGCCAGCGAGCTGTGGTGGCCTCTGGCCTGGCATGGAGAGGAGCGCCGATCTGCAAGGAAGACAGAGAAGGCGGCGAATGACAGTCAACCGGGAGAACTCCCATGGTGTCCTGGGCTTCAGGAGGCAGCGAATGAATGTCTTTTGCCTCTTGAAATGAGCTACGATGTGTATGTATGTTCACCGAAATGACAGCATCAGAAACTCTTTCGTAAACAAGACACGATCACTATGCAACAATATGTACATCCAGTCATTCACTTGGGCTATTCAGTGATCACAGTCTCAATTTTTTAGTCAGAGTATCACTTTGCAGTCTCACGATCCTATCTAACAACTTTGTTATGAAGTTTCAGCTCTGCTATTTACACTGTTGTGTCTGAACGTCTGAACAGCTTGACGAGCAGAACTGCAGAATCACGGCTGCCCTTCCCTTGGAATCCAGAAGCACATGGAGAAGGATGGAGCGTTGATGGTGCTGCATCTGTACTTACGCGAACTGCTGCTGCATCGTGTACCTCCACGTGGAGCAGTCGGAGACGAAGAACAGCACGGACCACGGAGGAGAGCACTTAGCCATGAGCGGCGGCGGGACCACGGAAGCGAGCACTTAGAAACAAGTGGTGCCGCGGCGCATGGATGCTAGTGGTGGTGCGGCGCACGGCGGCTAGCGGCGGCAAGGTGCTAGACGCCAGCGGCGCGGCAGGCGAGTGAACCTGAGGCCGGGACTCGACGAGCTGTGGAGAGCGTGGGCTAGGCCGGAGCAGCAGGCCGTGAGCGCATAAATTGGTGGCCAATGCTTGCAGGTGTCCGATCCACAGTTGACGGCACAGATGGCGTGACTGCAGAACGCAGTCGTTTCATGTAAGTTAGACGATCTCCTTCCGAGTCTTGTAGCGACTGTTTTTATGAGACTGAGTAGTATACCTCTTCATAACTACTGTGCCACGTCATATAAATTGTTGATGTGAGTATGTCACTGGCATGCAAATCACTGGCTCTCTTGTACGACCATTACAACTCCCTCGGTCCATAAAAAAATACAATTCTAGCAGCATCACGTTTTAGAATCTTATAAATTTAACTAATTATAGATTAAAAAATATTAATATTTATAATATCAAATAAATATTATTAGATTAATTATAAAATATATTAAATCAATTTAGACTCATAAATATAAATAGTATTCACTAAAAACTTAGCTAAACGTGGACTACTTTTGTTGGCACATAATCTGCAGTTGCATTCTTTCCGGGATAGATAGAGTACTTCACTTGCATGCTAATTCAATTCTGCGGAAGAATCGAGGCGCATTGTTCTGCATGGCTCTCTCACAAATACGGTATGAGCACGCTGCCCCGCTGCCAGCTCCGCTCCTCTAGACTCGCTCAGTCGTGTTCCATCATATTTTGGGACGTTGTACCGCGGTGTTCCCGTTCCGCGTTTTGGAACGAAGTTCCCGGTACGTGAAACGTACCCACGTTCCGCGTTCCTGACTCCTTAGAGTATGTGACGAGCCTAGGTCTATGTGGCAAGTTCTTAAACGTGGCTGAAATTCCAGTTCCCCGCTAAAATCCTTTTTGGATCAATATAATTAGGACTATTTACTAGTTTGGCTAAAAATCACTACCTCCCTTTTTTTATAAAATACAGCTTATACATAGTCTATTAAATTAAAATTTAATCATTTATTTATTTTATCTTATATTATTTATAGTTATATAAACTTATGATAGTTGGATAGTACACTTAATCAAAATCTAATCGTATAAAGTTTATATTATAATAGATCAAAATTATTGTCAAATTATAGATGGAGTAGCCGGTAAGTTTGCCAAATAACCAAGGCAGGCTTGTTCCTGTCAGGCATTTTCTCATTACTCACCAAAGTGCAAATGGCCCTATAGAACTTTCGGTGGGTTTAGGCCGTACAAATTTCTGTAATGTGCTTATATGACATCTCTAAATTCACAACAGAAAATATGCAAATGCCATATTTTGGGGCATGTACATGCCACGTGTATGTATTTAATAAATGCCGAATCACCTCAAAGAAAGAATGTACCAGTAAGAATTTTTTTTGGGAAGGTCACGAGCCTAGATAGCTTTGATTATATTATATACTAGGGAAAAAAGAGAGCGAAAAAAAAATCAAAACCAAAAACTCACACAGTTGATGCTTACCAGTTACCACACTACAGGATCCAGAACATGTAAACTAGCAGTGTGATGTCGGAATGGTACAAATACCCCACGTACAAAACTTGTTCTGCATTGAAAAATGTGGGGGTGGGGGGGGGAGCTAAGATTTCTGTTAGCCCTTTGTTGCTGGACTACCAACCAGCCCCGTACAAGTTTGGATAGTAGTATCTTACATGTTACAGCTTTCTGATTACAACGGAACACATCAAGAGCTAGATCACATACTGCACATGCATACTGAAGCAGCACATTTGAATTTGAACAAAACCAAATACGTGATTCCAATAAGCACAGTTGGAAGTGCTCTCAAGTCCTCTTCCTCCTCTTACTTCGCCTCCTGTCACTCTCATCAGAGCTTGATTCTGACTCGTACTCAGAACTAGACCCTACGCTAGAGCTTTCCGAACCATATTCAGATCCACTTGATTCTGACTCCGATGATTCCGGCTTCTGCTGCTGCATTATTAGGCGCGGCATGTTCTTCAAGTACTCCCTCACGCTTTCCGTTATACCACCAAGACCAATGGACGTGAAGCAATTGATCGAGAACCTTGTATTCTTCGGATGATCCTTTGGGAAGATAGACTCGAAGGAACCTTTGCATGTTAGGATCATTCAGCCTCTCATTGAGTAGGCGTATGCCCAGGTGCTCCGATAATTCCTGCATCAGGAAAAAAGGTATATAAGTATTCTAATAAAATACAACTAATAATGATAAATAGCTATGACATGAAAGCAGAATCTTTGCAAACATACTTGGAATAGAATTTTTAGGAAAATTCGAGAAGATGATGTTCTGTCTTCCTCTGTCAACCTGATGTAAGCCAAAACATGCCAAGGGAGCGCATCAGTCCCCAACAAATGTGCAAAGAACTTGGCAACATTCCTCAACTTGTTTGTTTCAAGACGATGAATCATCGAATATTGTTGCACAAAGCATTTTTCGAAGTTCTCTTGGTACACTTTATTGATCATGCAAAATCGCTGTCCTAGCAGCCCATAATAACGAAGGTATGTTCTCTCCTGACTGCAACACTCAAGAAGCATAATGCACAGCTCCATCTGCCACAAAACAAACAATTTTCATCAGGGAACAATACTTGCAGATTTCTCCTAAAAAATGTAAAGATTGCAGATTCCGCATCAAGCCATTGCAGATGCCGCATAAAAAAAGTACAGATTGCAGATTTTGCATCAAGACAACAACAAAAGACAAAGCAATTAAAAGCGCTAAAAAAATACCCCAAAAGGAATTACAATTCAAACCATATTCAATAACCCCATATGAAAAGGTACTAAACCCAACAAATGATTCATTATATTTATAACTAAAGAAGTTACTTAACCTTAAGCATGATTTGTTTATGTGCATATTATCTGTTGCAAGTTTAGTGACAATAACGGAAAGAATGGACGTTTGCTTCATTTAAAATTTTTCTTGAAAGATCACAGTTAGTCGAAATATTTTGTGACAGGTGGAGCAACAAAAACCAGATCAGAACCAGAAAGATAGTCTTAACGTAGGTTACGCACTGCACTGCTGCACACAATATTAGTATTCGTTACACTACGTCTGCTAACTAGCAATGCATCAACTTACAAGTAATGTCAAGTCATGACTACATTTCTCAGTACATGTATCCTCAGAATTTTCAAAACTAGTTTTCTGCTCTTCTGGACAGGTCAGTTACTTAATCTAATCTCTTGAGGTTACAAAGTGCACACCATGTAATGAAATGCTCAGAAGCAAACACTTGCAGACAAATTTATCAGAAAATGGTATCTTGTGAAATCGCGAAAACTAGCTCGGCTAAACCAATGATAAAAAGGAGTCTATGAAGGTGAAAAGTTGTAACAAAGCAATTTATTATATATGTTAATGGAAGGATTAACCACCCAATGATAACGTGTACTCCTGTTAGCATCTTTGACACAAATATACAGCAATAAATCCAGCGTAGGTCCTGGAGGCAATCGCAACAGAATTCTTCTATCATGCTCAACCATTCAAGAGTACTTTAGATTCAATGAATAGTTATCTTTCTAATTACCATTGAATCAGCCATTGAGGCTGTACCTAGGTGGCGACCAAACGAGCACTGGTCACTTTTCAAAACATATCTAACCTCTGTAAAATGGTGGGTATTGAAGTACTAGGTTTAATCTAAAGCAAGCTTTACTCAAACTTAGCTATTGGAAAATTTTGTCAAGATATATTAGTCCAATAAAAAGATAAACGGCAAAACTTAAAACGTTTACAAAGTTTAAATCAGTGTAAAAGAGAATAGTGGTACTAGAAGCAAATACAGAATGTAATTTTCTAAACTGTGGCAGCATACTATCAAAAAGGAAAATAGAACCAAATACAAACAAGCAATCAAGAAACATCTCAACAAACAAACATAAATCAATATTAGATATGAAAATCAATATCAGATATCAGAATCACATGAAATCAAGAAACGCTTCTGATGCATATAATCTTTCATAAGCTTGTGTCCAGCTTCTTCAAAATCAACACTGGACATAATAGTCAAATATATTGTTCTTCTAAGATTCACAAGATTTGTCTTTGTTCTATCCCTTATCTCCATTTGTTCCTCATCCTCTTCATCAGATTCTTCCTCATCTTCATCATCATCAGAAGCAGCATCTGATCCTTCTTCATCTTCAGAAGACTGCTCCCAGAATGCTTCTCTTTAGATTCTCATATGCCTTCTCATCTTCAACAAAATTGGGGTTTGCCCAGAAAACATCTGCAATTAAAGAGAGGTCAGCATTACATTACACAAAACTGGATCTCTTCACTCAGAAAGTTCATATTATCAATGTAGCATAGAGGACTCTCCATGCAACAACAAAACCTTACTTAGATTGGTCTCAGGGTCTAGGTCATCTTCAAGGGATATCTCATGTGTAAACTGGTCCTCCTGCTCCACTAGATCCAACTCTGGACGGATGGCTGGGAACCCCTACATAAATGGAACAAAAATCATCTGTCAGAACATTTGATGACCATGCAACGGAAAAAACACCAGGCTTCTCAACTTTGAGCCCTTTCTAAATCAGAGCATGGTTTTTGAGGCGTCGCCTAGGCATTGAGGCATAACCCAGGTACCACAGGATGCCACAAAGTTTTAGTTATGTCATATCACCTGACGTGCCTAGGCGTACAGCCGTATCGCCAGCACAACAGGACACCACAGCACCTCAAAAACCATGATCACAAGTATAACTTTACCTGGAATTTAGCCTTTCTAATTGCGAAAAGGCCTTCGATCAGAAACTGCACTCTCTTGTCTATTTCTCCTTCATGAAGAATGACTCGAAATCTTTCAAAAATAGCTGCATTAATTGATCAACAGGTAAATACTTTGTGAATTGAACAAGAAATAGGAGAGAAAAAACTAACAGCATGGGATCAATAAAGGCTTATCCATGTCATAGAACCGTCCAATTTATAAGAACACAAGTATAAAAACAATCACCAAAGCGATCAAACCCTCATACTTGAGCCCATATAAACCTGGTAGTCCGATGAAATCTCGAAGGATCTCAAACAACCAACATACAAACCAAGATCGTAAAGATTCAACATAATCAGTCACATGTTACATCACAGTTCACAAATATTTCTCATACATCGGAGTTCGAATAATTATTACAAACCAAGTTTGAAAGTAGCGGAAGCAAAGTAGTTTGACCTCAACATCACACATAGTTTAATACAAAGCCAGTTTCATAGTCATCCCCAACCACAAGCACAAGGGTGAGATGATATACAGAGTGACCAAGCCCATGGTCCTAGTCCTCATCCACTGCAGGAGCGAAGCAGTTCTTGCAGTAGCCGTGATACATAACATTATCTACAACAATGAGAATAAAACCCTGAATACGAGAAGGTACTCAGCTAGACTTACTCGTCAAACTAAAATACTAAGACACCAAGGAGTATGCAAGGCTTTATAAGTAGAGCTGGTAGACATTATTTACATAAAAGCATAAGTTATTCAACATCTCTTTAATTATGAATCACCAGTTATTAATCCTATCTCATACTAGATTAGCAACTATTCTATCCCAAACATGTTGGTACCATTAAGTCATCACAATAATAACCATATCCAGTTGAGTTCTTGCATAATCTTATAACCAACACTTCCATCAATTACTACGATGAAGTGTATTCCTGTCAAGTTCTCACTATCCGGGAGAAACGGCGATTCGAATCGATTCCTACCCAGCTGGGGAATTATTTCTAACACACACGCATACTTCCTCCATCGGGGTTGCATCAGGTCACCTTTAGGACAACTCAACTACAATCGCGGGTAGGACCAGCGCCGCACCCTCAAAGATACAACCAATCTGCCAAGGGGGCTCGGGACTCTAACCCGCCCTTGGGCTTACGCCATTGGCTCTCCACACATCCTTACTGCCTCCAGGGTGCGCACTTTAACTGCTCGTGTCCCCGGCCTGAGTTGAGCTACTCGGCTTCGCGGTCGGAACGACTTATTCGGCCAACTATGTGAGAGGCATGCGTTCAACATGACAAGATGACCTCCAACGGCCGATCCTTAAACGACACAGACGGAATCACTATGATTACCACAACACAAGACTCCGCCCGGTCTCCAATTATTCAACATCATCAGGTTATGTTCCATGATAGCACCATATAGCCAACCGTGATTAAGTTATCACCTATAGCCCGCAGGTGACAGGAAATCACCTGACTTCTAACAGTCTAAGCAAAGCTAAGCATGATAAGCGTTCCTGGACTTAAATATGATTCATGGTAGATATTTCTAGACAAGGTAATATGCATCAAGTGTTTCCAAACAACTCCTATCACATAATGCATCAATACGGATAACTTTAGGTGACATTAATAAAATAGAGAGACTTATAATGCTCCGGGGCTTGCCTTTCACGAACGTTGCTGGCTGATGATCAGGGCACTCCGGGAGATGATTAACCTCAGGCTCACCTTCGCCGGGAACCTCCTGGTGCTGCACTTTCTGGTTCTCCTCTTGTGGATCTTCGTCGAGCTCCACCAGCGTGATCTCCTCGGTTGCACCTATTGCATGCATATGCATAAGTCCCATGAATGCATAAGAAGGATCATGGATGATGTGATAAGGGAATGTACATGCTGCGACAATGAGGTTAAGTAGCACAATGATAACAATGCTAACTCCTTGTTTACTGAGTAGGTGCATATCTCTTCTCTATTTATTACCGAAATTCTACACAAGACAATTTCAGAGCTACACATAGCAGCTACTAGTTTACATCATGACTGAAGTTATCATGACTGAAGTTCTACCTATCCAACTGCTATGATCTTAGACTTTCTGGAAAGCTTATAAAATTGCCTACAATTTTTATTTAATCACCAAAAGCTAATTCTAACTCTATCCTAACCACAACAGGCAATCTATCCAGTTCTTTTCAAAAATTCAAGAGATCAAGCATTTCGGGAGACTAACTTTAAACAGCTATAATTCCTAAACCTTTTGGCCTATTGCCCAAAAAATTTTACACAAAATAGATAAAGAAGTTCCCAACAACTTTGTTATTAACCATTTCTACGGCAAACATCATTCTAACTATGCAACATGCCCAACAACAGAATTTGTTCGAAAACACTTCTAAATCGAATTATTGAGCAACAATATTTTTACTGCATATAAGCATTCAAAATTTGACATCACCGAGTATACCAACAGTTCAAGAATACTAAATACACTTAAGAAAACATAATGATCAAGCCCAATCTATTTATTTAAATGCCTTTATTAACTTAATTCGATAATTAGTGGAAATAATAAACATATACCAATATTCACAATAAATTCTCAGAAAATTACAGTAGCTTCCAAGTGCTCCCAATAGACTACTATAAAATTTCATACCATTTGAACATGTATAATATCCTCTACAAAAATAACAAGCTAGCAAGATCTATTTAAGTAAAAATAGTGAACCCTATAGAAAAATGTCAAACAACAGATTATATATTTTTCTTAACTTCATATTAGTGTCATACTACTGTACAAAAATTTGCATAGCAATATGTTGCATATTTTTATCCCTACAATTTTCCTCGGAAAATACCATTTATTAATAGATAATTAGAAAGACCCTACTCCAAACAAGTTAACAGCAAGTTTATTATTTTTCCTAACTAGAGCATGTCAACATAAAACCAACAAAATTGAAATCACAATTTTATGACTTTTCTAGCTCAAGATATCTATTTTACAAGATTATTAACATTCAAAAAGCACTTATCTAGATATATTATATTCACCTATAAAAATACTAGAAACTGTACATTTCATATTTTTATAAAATACTACACTTCATAAGGATTACAACAAAATTTAGTTCACTAGAATTGGACATCTATAACTCCACTTATGATTTTTCAAAGTTGGCATACATTTCTGAAATAAATGCACTAACATCTAGACCTAAGCCGCTGACAGCTGGGGCCCCTGAGTCAGCCAGGCCAGCGTGTCATAGGTTCAAATCAGAGTACCGACGCTGACCTGCCGGAGTTCACTGACGGCGAGCTCTCCGGCGACGGCAACGGCACCATGATGATCCCTGAGACCTTCCGCACACACTAGGGTAGCTAGTTGGATCGATTACTGGAGCTAAGGGTGACGGCGGCACTCAAGGTGGCACGGCGGACGCGGGTCGATGGTGAGCCACTGGAGCTGGCCGAGATAGCCCAAATTAGGGTTCGGCCGAGCTACTAAGTACTACGGCGAGTCTAGCGCGCACTCCATCACGGCAAGCGGTGGTCGGAGGCGGCCCGGCCACAGGCGGCGTGGCATGGCGGCGAGACGACGACGATGGCCGCGGCGCTGCACAAGAGGCTTACCGTGCGCGGCTAGCTACAAGGCGGGTTCGGTGAGATGGTAGGAACACGGCGGAGCTATGGTTGTGGCGAAGAAGCGACGCGAGCGTGGTGTGAAGCCGGGCGGTCGGCAATTGCGTCGACGGCGAGCGCTGCGCTGCTGCTACGATGCGAAAGCGAGCGAAGGGAGGCAGTGGAGATGGAGGGAGCGCAAGGGAGTGAATGAGCTGAGCCGCGCGGACTCTCCTTAAGCGCGCGCCAGCACACCACGGCGGGGGCCCGACGTCGGCCAGTGGCGGCCACGCGGCAGCCAACCCTGTTTGCGGTCGACCACGACGGCGAGTCGCGACGGCGTTATCAGAGCGCGATGTTCGTGACTGACAGTGCCAAATCAACGTCCCTAATCTCCTAAACCACGGCTCATTAGCGAAATCTTTCTTAACAAAAGTTGTAGCCCTACATACCAGCTCCAATATTGATTACAAGATCAAAGTCTAATTCGCAACAGTTAGGAAGATACATCTCAAAGTCAGGCAAATCAAACGGCAAAACTAGTTAGGACTTAGACAAAATTCTAAGTTACAAAAACAGTGAATTGTTGATTCTTGTGAGCATAAAATGACCAATCTAGGCACTGAATTAGCTTATGACCCAAAAATAAAAGTTGTTGCTCTACTCAAATACAACTTTGCTTAAGGGTGCTTTGCCATGCAAAGACTCTATGACATAGTTCAACCTAGATCAAACATACCACTTTAAAATGATGACTTCACTATAACTAGGACTTAGAGACCAAAGTAGCCTTAGTCATGAATACCAAAGTTGTTCCATGTGATATTCTAAACATGTTTAAGGTACTCCTAAGGTTCCACAATCATTTTACACATTGGTTACATATAAACCCTAACATAAGTAAGGCAATTAAGTATGCAATATAAGCTAATATAGATAGAATACATGATATGCTCATGCTCATGAATGATCAATGATGCTTGTGCTCATGCAATGTCAAGGTTAAATGCATGCTTAACACCTAGGGTGTTACAGCCCTTCTCCCCTAAAAGGAATCTCGTCCCGAGATTGCACGACCTACCATTCTTCGTAGAAACCCGGATAAACCTCACGAAGATAGTCCTCACGTTCCCATGTAACGTCTTGTTCACTATGATTATTTCAAATCACCTTATAGAACTTAACGACTTTGCTACGAGTCACTCTTTCCATTTCTTCAAACACTCGAATTGGTCTTTCTTCATAGGTCAAATCCAACTGAATCTTGATACTAGCGAATTCAAGAGCTTCTTCGAGCACACGAAGACATTTCTTGAGTTTGGGAGACATGAAAAACACTGAATATAGCTTTCATTTCCGGAGGTAACTGGAGTTCGTAGGCTACTGGTCCTTTTCGTGCAAAGATCTGGTATGGTCCAATATACCTAGGAGCAAGTTTTCACTTCACCCTAAATCTTTGTAC